AAAAAGAAAAAGAGAAGAAAATAAAAATAATGAAAGAAGAAAATAACAGAAAAAGAAAAAAAAAGAGTAAATAGAAAAAAAAGAAAAAGAAAATAAAAAAAAGGAAAAACAAGACAACTCAGAAGAGAGAGAGAGAGAGAGAGAGAGAGAGAGAGAGAGAGAGAGATGTTTGTTGTACTTTTTGTATGGGTCACCTCAGCCGCCCGCAAGCAATTCCACTCACAGGGAATGAAAGAATTTAATTAACAAAACAAGTCTCTCTCACAGCAGACAGGCTCGACACAGGTGCTCGCACAGGTGCGGCCGGTCCACCAACCTGGGCTGCAGTTCCAGCGCCGCCGCTCCGCCTATCGGTTGCATCGTGAGCCCCAGAATGCATGCACCACCAACGCGCGCGCGATGCGCCACCGCATGGCTTGCATGTCGGCGGACGAATACGGGAAGCCTCCCGTCATGCCCATCGCGGCCGCGCTGTCGGCCGCGGCACAGGTGAAGACGGCGCAGTCTCCCTCAAGCGCGGCGTCGCGCTGCGGCGCGCACTGCGGCGCGAGCACCAGCGTGGCCCGGCCCGCGTGCGCATCAACGACGCCCTCCACCGCGAGCCAACGCGCGAGGCAGCGGAGAGCCTTCTCGCCGCGGGAGGGATCCCACGTCTCGCACGCGTCACGCGCGGAGTCGAAGCACCACAGGATGGGCTGACCGCGCGCGCGCAGATCACACAGCGCCAGCCACCAGTGCTTACTGCCAGCGTGCACGGGGACGCACACCAACTGCGCGTCACGAATGCTGTCCAGCCCAGCCAGCTCTCGCAGTCTCTTGGCGGCGGTCCAACGCCGCACTCGATGGTAGTCGAAGGAGTTGAAGTCGTGCCCGCCAAGCAGCTTGAGGAAGTGGGTGTTGAGCAGCACCACGCGGCCACGGCATCGCTGTTGGACGACGTACAGGAACGCGTTGATGGTCTCATCACCCAGCCAAGAGCCAGGCGAGACCAGCTGCCGCAGGTCGATGCGCTCGTTATTCAGATGCAATCGCCCGACCATACCGCAGGATAAGCACTCGCACAGCTGGTGCACGAGAAGCGGCTGCATCGTTGCAGTTTCGTTGGTGCTGCGTGCCATCGCTTCACTTGCAATGTCGTCCACGACATAGCAGATGTCGTGCGCCCGCTCTTTGTCAGATCGAAGGCGCTGCAGAAGCCACAGCCAGCTTTGAGGAGAAAGCGAAGAGCATTGACTGCCACGGATTCACGGTCGATGCCCGCGCATCAGCCTCGGCCGCCATCGCTGTGCGGTGCAGAGCACTCGTTTGCGGCGCTTAGCGGGAGGTGAGCGTAAGAAGATATGAGCGGCGTGCGCGCCGCGTCAACAGTCGCGTCCTGTCTTCATGTGAAAGTCAGCGGTAGTAAGCTGGTTTAGGTTTTAGCAGGCCGTTTTTCTCGCGTCCCATTTTAAATTCGCTGCCCGCGAGTGCGGGTACGTGGCCACTACCGACGGCCGCGGAGTCCCACGTACGGACGCTGGTAACTAGCGCCGGCGTGCTGGGAGGGAATCAGCATAGAAGAATAATTCTTCTTCAGTGTGCTGTGAGAGAGGGTTGTATCTGAAGAATTCTTCTTCGTGCCCGTGTGCTGTGAGAGAGGCTTGCATCCTAAGAATTCTTCTTCAGCAGAGACAGCCGGCTACGAGTCAGAGCGCAGGCTCGATTGCCGGCTGCTCATCGCCACGTGAGCGCGCGCTGGCCCGATGCGACTCACCAAGACCGAGCTCAACTCGGTGCCCATCTACAACCTCTCGAGCGTGGGCAAGGCGCTCCCGCTCTGGGTCCACGACAAGAAGTCGCGCGCCGGCAAGGCGCGGGCGAAGCTGCGTCCTGCTGATGCGGCGGGCGAGCACGTCGAGGTGATCCAGGACCTGTTCTTCCCGACGATGTGCGGCAAGGCGAAGCTCTCGAGCGACGGCGAGACGCTCCTCACGACGGGCGGGTACCCGCCTCAGCTTCGCGCGTTTGAGCTCCGTGAGCTGTCGCTCAAGTTTGAGCGGCACTTCAACGCCGAAGTGGTCGACTTCCAGGTGCTGTCGGCGGACTGGAAGAAGGCAGTCTACCTGCTCGCGGACCGGTCGGTCGAGTTCCACACCCAGTTCGGCAAGCACCACACCACGCGCATCCCGGTGCACGGCCGCTGCCTCGGCTACCAGCCAGAGACGACAGAGCTGCTGCTCGCCGGCGCCGGGCCGGAGGTGTACCGACTCTCGCTCGAGCGGGGCGCCTTCCTGCAGCCGCTCGACTCGGGCGCGGCCGGCGTCAACGCGATCGGCGTCGACCCCACCCACGGCATGGTTGTCCTCGGCACCGCCGACGGAACGGTGCAGTGCTGGGACCCCCGCCAGCGATCGTTGCTGGGCGCGGCGTCGCCGTTCGCGGCGATCGACGCGGTCGACGGGTTCGGCGGCGGGGGTCCGGCTCCGGCGGGCGGGCTCCACCTCGGGTCGCCCGAGCGGTCGGTCACTTCGGTGCGTTTCGACCCGGGAGGGCTGCTGCTCGCGGCTGGGACGTCGTCGGGGCACGTGGCTCTGTACGACGTGCGGTCGTCTCGGCCGGTGCCGCGCGGAGAGGGCGCGGGGGCGGGAGGGGCGGGCGAGCCGCGCTCACCGCGGCGGTGCGCCCGTCGCGTAGGTGTGTCTCAAGGACCACAAGTACGGCCTGCCGGTCCACTCGATCAAGTTTCACCAGGGCAAGTGCGTCTCTGCCGACGCAAAGATCATCAAGATCTGGGACCACGCCGGGGCGGTGGACGCGTCGGGGGAGCCGCCCACGTTCGCGTCGATCCAGCCGCCCGCCGACGTCAACGGGCTCTGCGCCTTCCCCGACTCTGGCCTCCTCTTCGCCCCGCTGGAGGCGGAGCGTCTCGGCGCCGCCGCCCCAAGGTCCGGGCCAGGCGCGGGGGGCGGGCGGGGGCGCGCTGAGGGCGGTAGGGCGGTCTGTAGGCGCGTACTTCATCCCCGCGCTCGGCCCCGCGCCAAAGTGGTGCCACTTTGTCGACTCGCTCACCGAAGAGATGGAGGCGGCCCCTGCGGCCGCCGTGTACGACGACTACAAGTTTGTGACGGCCGAGGAGCTCGGCTCGCTCGGCCTCAGCTCGCTGGTGGGCACCAAGGCGCTGCGGCCGTACATGCACGGCTTCTTCGTCGACTCGCGCCTGCACGCCAAGGCCGTCTCCCTCTCCCAGCCCTTTGCCTACGAGCAGTGGCGCAAGCAGCGCGTGCAGGAGCGGCTCGGCGCAAAGACGGCGGGCCGGATCGCACCGGTCAAAAAGGAGAGGCCGCCCAAGGTCAACGCGGCGCTGGCGGAGGAGATTGCGACGCGCGAGCGGCAGGCCGTCAAGGAGGCTGCGCGCAAGGCGCGCCGCAGCGGCACGGCGGCGGCCACCGCCGCCGCCGCCGCCGCCGAGGACGACGGCGCGCGCGCGGCGGGAGGAGAGTCGCTGCTGGACGACGGGCGCTTCAAGGCGCTCTTCTCGGACAAGGACTTTGAGATTGACGTGACGAGCGAGGAGTACCTCGCCCGGAGGCCGCACGCGCGAGGGCAGCTGGCGCCGGCGCCGGCGCCGGTGGGGAGCGACGACGACGACGACGACGACGAGGAGGAGGAGGAGGACGGGGAGGATAGCGGCGAGGAGGAGGGCGAGGACGGGATGGGCGAGGAGGAGGAGGAGGAGGAGGAGGAGGAGGAGGAGGAGGAGGAGGAGGCGCGTGCTTGGAGCTCGTCGCGGGGCGGCCGCGCCGCGGCTCTGTCGGCCGCGCCGCGAGCCGCGCAGCCCCGCAACCGCGAGCCGCGAATGGTTGGCGTGCAAAGCGACGTGCTCGCGGGCGGCGCGTCGAGCATGGCTCCGGTCCTGCCGGCGAGTGCCACCTTTGGCGCGCGGCTGGCGGCGCTGCCCCGCGCCTCGGCTGGCGCGGCGAGGGGCGGCGCTGCCGGGGCGCACGAGATGACCTTCTCGGCGACCGACATGGCCGAGGAGCCGTCGGACTGGCTCGGGGAGGACGACTTTGCAGAAGACGCCGGCTGGGGCAAGGGCGGCAAGGGCAAGGGCGGCAAGGGCAAGGGCGGCGGCGGCAAGGGCGGCGGCGGCAAGGGCGGCGGGGGCGGCGGCGCCAAGGGCAAAGGTGCCAAGGGTGGGGGCGCCAAGGGCGCAGCGGGCGCCAAGGGCGCTGGCGGCGGCAGAGGGCGCGGCTTGCCTGGCGCTGGCGGAGGCGAGAGGTCGGAGAGGCGGGGCATGCTTGAGCGGCACCTGACGCCCCAGCGCGGCAAGGGAGGCAAGGGAGGCAAGGGGAAGGGGAAGGGGAAGGGCGGCATCAGCAAGCGCGGCGGCGGGCGTGGCGGCGGTCGGAGGTGACGCACAGATAGGATCGCGTCCGGGTGCGTGGGGAGATGCGAGGGTCTGTCGTGCTCCCCCACTCTTTGACGTGTTGTGTGTGTGTGGAGAAGCAGTTTACCGTACACTCGACGCCGCTCGGATCGATCGACTACACCTCCCACCGATCCGCTCGGAAGATTGGGAGCGTGGCGGTCGCGTGCGCGACAGGCGAGAGTCCATCACAATGACTCTCCAGTTTTTGGCGCGCCACCGAGATCCTGCTTCCTGGCGCACGCGTACAACGACACGACCGGAGCCGACGCTGAGGCGACCCTGCGCTACGAGTGAGCTGAACACCACCCATGTCCGCGATCCGCTCTTGCGAGGTGGCTTGGCAGGGGAGAGAAAGGATTACGTGTCGTTGTGTGCACTGTTGAGAACGTTGTTCATATCGAGGGGTCCCGTACCATGCGGAATCGACCCTATCCAGTGCTCAAGTGCTCAACGTTCATATTCAATGTGCTCTGTGTGGGGCCTGGGGCGTTCGCTCGTACTGCCTCTCGCGCCAAAACACCGCACGCCGCCCACGGTCGCGCGCGGCAGGCGGCACGCGGCGCCGCGACGCGGGGCGCGGGTCCCATCCACACATCTCCGCAGTCCAGAGAGTGAGCGCAGCGGTAAACTCAGAGTATGGTCAGACCATGTGTGGGGATGCGCGAGGGCGAGCGAGCGGTGTATGTGCCATGAGCCGAGGACCGCCTCTGGGTGATGCTCCGATAAACCCGCCGGATCTTCGACAAAACCCGGACATTTCTTTTTTTGGAAGGGTAGGTGTGAATACAGCTTTCTGGTAGGGTTACATCGACGAACTATGCGGCAATCGACTGGGGGGCAGCCCCCCGGCACATCCCGCACAGAGACCTGGATGTAACCCGATTGTGAGCGTGAGTGAAACCGCCGATGCGATTGCTCATTGCTCAGTCAGTGACCGACAGTCAGTCGCAGCAGACTTTGACGATTGGCGGCCTCGCGCCCTCAGTCGCCCTCCTCTACTAACGGCCCTGCCCCAGCCCAGATGCCTCATCCAGGGTGGTGCAACCACTCGCGCAGGGAGGGAGAGACAGTCGGCGATCTGCGCCGCGCAGATGAGCTCCGCCTCGTCTGCGTCGAGGACGTCCACCGCAGGGCTATCATAGCGCCATATGACGCACTGCCTGTTGTTCATTACTTCGCAGGTGCCAACGTCGAGGACAATCTCACTGGTGGCGGCTGCACTCCCGGCCGGCGGTAGGAGAGATGAAGGCTAATGTACTTGGCAGTGTACGGGGCCTTCCGGCGTGAACAGTGCCCCGGGACGAAAGAGGAGGCGACGTCTCTCTCGTCCACGAGCGCCTCGATGTGCGCATCGACGGTGTAACCAGCTTTGAGAGACGGGAACGAACGGCGGTGAATCGCCGACAGGTGCGCCTTCGTTCCTACCACCACTCCCACCACCGCCAGCTCCGCCGTGGACCTTGCCGGGCCCTCTGATGATGTAGTGAGCAGTTCGTCCGAGCCGTTGTTGTACTCTGCTGTGGCGCCAGCTCGGTGTACAATACGGACGAAGACGGCCACAGCAACGGTGTAACCAGCGCGAGCAGGCAGCGCGAACCGCTGTGCCTCGGCGCGCCGGCCGCCGAAATCCTCTCAGAGTTCTTTGGCATAGGGGAACCCCAACCCTAAATTTTCTTCGCCTGCGGCGGGCCATCACTTGGATTCGCTGCTTTCGGATTCATAGCTCTTTCGCACGCCTTTATCCGTCACTCCCCCGAAGATTGGAGGTGTTGATTTATGCACAAATCTATGTGTTGCGAGCGCTAGATGGCGAAATTTTCTTCGCCTCCGGCGGGGCCGCTCGCCGCGGGGCTAGAGAGGGACTTTTGTCGATGTCGGCTAGAAGTGCTGCACCTTTTTGAGAATTTCACCCCTCTCATCTCATGGGGGGGCGCTTTTTTGAGCATGCCGCTGCCATGGCGCATGGGGGGGCCCATGCCTCACCATCATCGCGTGCTCTTGACACTTGACTCTTGACACTTGAGCCGAGATCATGTGTGTCAAGTACGGCTTTTTACACACATATGTACATGTGCATGCATATGCAGCTCTACAGCCTTGTGTGAGCCTTAGGCTCACACAAGGCTGTAGCTGCATGAGAAGGGTCATTGTGTGTGGTAAGGTCACTGCACACATCTCATCTGGCCTGGGACAGCGCCTCGCGCTCCCTGCCCACACACAACACGAATAAAAAGAGAAGCAGCGCTCCGGACACTCACTCACACGTCAGGCGCAGTGGCCGCAGGGGTGGAGGGGGCAGCGTGGGGGGAGGAAGCGTGCAGGGTGGGGTGCACCCGTCCTACGTTAGGGTGCAGCCCTGCGAGATGAACGCCTTGCCACACCGGCCGCGAGGGTCCTCCTGCTCCTGACTGGCGCGGGACAACGGCGAGCATGTAGCACAAGCCCTGCGCCTGCTCCTGGACGTCCCGCTTGTGCGGGTGAGCCCGCAGCGCCGCGGTCGCAGCCTCGAGCGCGCCCAGCTCCACGGCGCGCTGCTTCCGCGCGCGCCCGGCGCCGTCGCCGCTGATGCAGATCTTTGCCAGCGCGAGGCAGCCGTTCTCCTGCACGCCCGCCTCGCGCGGGTGTGCGCGCAGCGCCGCCACGACGGCCTCGATCGCAGAGCTCGCGGCTGCGCGCTGCGCGCGAGCGCACGCCATCAGAAACGAAGACCGCGAGCGCCCGACCGCGTCGCTCGACTCGCTGTCGGCAACCCGCCCCTGCCCAACCACGTTGGCGAGCGCCCAGCAGCCATTCTCCTGCACCTCCACGTCGTACGCGTGCGCGCGCATCGCCGCCACCATCGCCTCCAGCGCGCCGACCTCCGCAGCCCGCGCGCGCGCCACGTCGTTCGGCGCGTCGTCGCTCGCAGACACCGCGTACAGCATGTGGCAGCCCTCGGCCTGCACGCCCGCGTGCGTCGGGTGCGCGCGCATCGCCGCCACCACCGCCTCGATCGCGCCCGCCTCGGCCGCGCGCGCCTCCCGCGAGGGCACCGCGTCGCCACACAGCATCGTCAGGGCAGAGATGCCCTCCTCCTGCACGCCCGCGTTCGTCGGGTGCGCGCGCATCGCCGCCACCACCGCCTCAAGCGCGCCCGCGTCCGCCGCGCGCTCCTCGCGGGCGGCGGCGGCGTCGTCGCTGCCGCTGCACATCTCGGTCAGAGCGGTGCAGCCCCACTCCTGCACCCCCTCCTCCTGAAGGTGAGCGCACATCGCCGCCACCGCAGCCTCGATTGCGCCCGACCTCACCGCGCGCTGCTCGCAGGCCGCGCCGACCGCGTCGTCCCCGCTGCACATGTTCGCCAGCGCCTCGCACCCCGCCTCCTGCACGCCGGCGTGCTGCGGGTGAGTCCGCATCCCCGCCACCACAGCCTCGAACGCGCCCGCCCCGGCCGCGCGCTGCTCGCGCGGAGCGCCGGCCTCGAAGTCGCCGCACAAGTTTGCCAGCGCAGAGCCGCCGCTCCACTGCACGCTCGCCGACTGCGGGTGCGCGCGCATCGCCGCCACCACCGCCTCGAGCGCGCCCGCGTCCGCCGCGCGCTGCTGCCTCCCCTCCGCGCCGCCCTCGGTGCCGCTGCAAATGGTTCCCAGCGCCGCGCACCCCTTGCACTGCACCCTCTCCTCGCTGTGAGTGCGCAGAGCCGCCATCACCAGCTCGATCGCGCCCGCCTCCGCGGCCGCCTGCCTGCTGCGCTCGTCCGCGCACAGATCCGCCAGCCGTTCCCCAACGGCGGCGGCGACGCGAGGGACTGACGCATGCGCCCGCAGTGCCGACATCGCCGCCGCCAAGTCCATCTCCTGCACCGCCGCGTCGCTCGGCGCCGCCCCCTCGCCCGCCTCGCCAGCCTCGAGCGCCGCCAGCCGCGAGAGAAGCTGCTCGTTCTCTGCACCTTGAGACCGCAGCTCGGCCTCGAGCGCAACCACGCGCGCCCTGAGCGGCGCCAGCATGCGCTGGCACACGGCGAGGGGGCACGTCGCCTCGTGCGCCGCCTTGTCTGCCACCATCCCCGACCACGTGCAACCAGCCTCTGCCGCCGCGCACGACCTCGGCCGCTGCGGGCAGCCGAGCTCGTGCCGGCCGAGCTCGCCGCGCGTCGTCGGCAGCCCGCAGTGCGCGCACGCCGCCGGCAGCACCGCAATCCGCTCCTCGTGGCTGCGGTTGCGGATCGCCTGGTCGAGCGCGCCGAGAGCCATGCGGCACGCCGGACACCGGCGAGGAAAGACCAGCCGGGCGTCGCAGCCGGCGCAAAAGGTGTGGCCCTCGCGGCACTGGTGCTGTGCGCAATCCGTCACCTCGAGGCAGATCGGGCACTCGAGGGACTTCGGGTGCGGCTCGGCTTGCGGTCCGGCGGGGGCGGTGAGGGAGGCGCGGGCGGTGAGGGAGGCGGGGATGGTGGCGCTATAATCCTCGAGGAACGCCGGAACGCCGGCGATGGGGGCATCATCTCCCGCGGCGGCCGCCATCCTGGCTGCGGCCCGGGCTCTGTCTTGCGCGTTCCCGGCCGCCTGCGCCGCCTGCGCCTGCACGTCGGGCGCCTGGGCCGCCGCGGGGCGCCCTGCTGCACTCTCAAGTATCCACCGGCGCAAGGCTGAGGGAGGCGTCACCGTCGAGGAGTCTTCCGACGGTGCTGAGCTTTCCATGTCGACCACGCTCAGAGAAGCAATACTGCGGTCGCCACGCCCGCGCTCAAGCCAGCTACGAACGAGTTTCGGAGGCGTCGAAGGAGTCCGAGGAGAGAGGGGGGAGGAGAGGGAGTGGCCGGCGCGCGGCGCGCGAATTTCTTTTTCTTTTACCCTTTTATCGCCCCTCCCCGAGGCTCCACCGATAAACCCCCGAGAGGCGCAAGAGACGTTCGCTTTCCACCCACTGCGATTCGCAGTGTATGTGGCTCTTACGTACATTCCCCTCCTCTGTGTTTTGTCAATGTATGTGGCTCTTACGTACATTGTGTGAGCTCTGTGTCTTCCTTTCCCACAACAACCTCAAACCCCGACTTGCCAACAATACCGAGGGCCACACCCACCGCGCGAACCTTCCGAAGGAAACCTCGATACTCGTAGCAAACCGAGGCGATCGCCGGTGGGCACCGCAGGGACGGCGGCGCGCATCCCGCCCACGTAGCATGAGCGGACTCAAGCACTGGCTGTCCACCTGGCGGCCGTACGACGTCGCCAACACCCTCGCCGCCGCCACGGTCGGCGCCACTCTCTACGCCAGGCAGCATGAGATGCTGAACGACCCATTTGTGGACGCGACCAATGCAACGCTCAAGCCAGTGCACCAGGCGCGCATCCTGCGCGGCGGGCCGGCGTGGCGTGAAGGCAACTATGCGGCCCATCATGCGCCAACCACTCCCACCCTCGCAACAGGCGATCACGGAGGCTTGGAGCGCTGACCCGGGCGAGATGGCCGCTGCGGCGTTTGAGTTCTGGCTGTTTGTGTTTGCGATGGGAAGCTCGCCTGTCGCATGGCTCATCACCGCTGGTTTCCAGTCCGTCACGCCGGCCATGTGGGCCGAGTTCCTGCCCTGGGTCGTCGTCACCTTTGGCTCCCTCTTCAAGGGCCTCTCCGTCATTGCTTGCGCCGCCTTCGCCGGGACGTACGGGCCGCCCCCCTCGACCGCGTCGCCCCGGCTCGCGCGCGCGCACGCGCGCGCAACGGCAGGTAGCCAACACATACCGCCCCGCAGGTATTGGATCCACGGCCTGCTGATGCTGCCGCTCGACCTGTACGCGACACCAGACGCGCTAGAGAAGTTGATGGTCGTCAAGGTGCAATCGAAGAAGCGTGTCGACCCGAGCAAGCTTCCAAAGGCGGTGCTCAACATGATGGGCAATCTTGTTTTTGTCGCCTTTCCCATCGTCACCGGCCTCGTCTACGGCTCTCTCAACTCTGACCATTTCCTGCGCGTCGACGAGACGCTGCCGTCGCACAAGGAGCGCTGCCTCTGCCTCGCATCGGTCATCATTGGCAACGAGGTCCGATCTCATCCGCGCCGAGCCCTTCCCTGCTCCTCGAGAACAACGCGCTGGCCCCACCGCCTGGTCTCGTCGCCTGATTCCTCGCCCTCCCCTCCCCCCTTCCCTCAGATCCTCTTCTTCTACTCGCACTGGGCGCTGCACACAAAGACGCTCTATGCGCGCATTCATAAGGCGCGTGCCAAGCCCCTGCCACTGTTGGACAAAGGGGCCCGTGCCACGCAGCGCGCTCTCTGCTGCTCTCCTCTGGCCCTCCAGCGCACCGTCCCGCCGAGCAGAAGCACCACGAGTTCACCTCGCCCATCGCGCTCGTCGCAATCTACTGCCACCCGATCGAGTTTGTGCTCTCCGACATCGTGCCGCTCGGCGCCGGGCTGATCGTGGCGCACGCGCACGCCTTCTTTGCGCTCATGTGGATCGTCACGGCCGTCATCGGCACGCAGGTCCACCACTCGGGCTTCCGGCTGCCGTGGCACTTCAATCCGGACGAGCAGCCCGACTTCCACGACTTCCACCACGAGAAGTTCAAGTGCAACTATGGCCACCTCGGCATCCTCGACGCAGTGCACGGCACCTCGAAGATGTGGCTCGACCACTGCGCCAAGCTCCAGGCCGAAAAGAAGGCCAAGCTCCAGTGAGAGCGACCACCGCAATCACGCGCAACTGCGGCCCGTTCCCGTCAGCCAACGCGCTACTGCGGCCCGTTCCCGTCAGCCAACGCACTCTATGTGCCTACGTGCCTTGCCCTGGATCCCAGGGTCTGTCCCCCGCAAACTGGCCCTACGTGCCTCGAGCCAGTGTCACTTTGCATGTGCCTACCTAGCTGTCCGCAATCCGATAAGTCCCGGACACCCCCGCGGAGACCTGTGCGTACTCGTTCTGGTGTCTCGTGACCCCCCGTTAAGGCCGCCGTTGCTGGCAGCCGGGGTGCTCCTTTGTACGTGATTAGGGTGTCGGAAAGCCAGAGAAACCCCTGGCACGCGCGCCGGCGCGTGCGGCTCTTGGGGCGTACCGGCGGGTTTTGGGGGAGTGCGTTGAGATGCCGTCGTAGTTCCGGGCATCTCCTGGCGTTCAATAGGGCCGCGCCGCGCACGACTCCCTTCTCTGGCGACGGAGCATTTCGGCGTCGGAGCCTGCAGGCGAGACCCCCGGAACCAAATGCTCCCGCAGCGGCCGGCGACGCCGGAGTCCGCACGGAGGCTCGCCGGACGACATCTAATCTTCGATGGCGCTGAGTTTGAGCTCGGCCGCAAGCTCGGGGCGGGCCGATTTGCGACTGTCTATCATGCAGACCGGCGGCGGGTGGACTCGCCTGCCTGCGCTGGAGCTCACCTCCCCACCCAGCTTGCCATCAAGGTGTGCGAGCTCGCTGGCATCAGCGCGTGGGGCAGGATGGCTCTCGTGCGCGAGCAGGCACTCTGGATGAAGGTCGACCACCCGAATGTCGCGAGGTGTCTGGGAGCGATCAAGACGCCCACGCAGGCGGTGATCCTGCTCGAGGAGTGTCAAGGCGGCGAGCTCTTCGAGAGGATCATGAAGATGAACCACTTCTCAGAGGACAGGGCGGCGCGGCTTACCGCAGAACTGTGCTCTGCCGTTTCGCACCTCCACAGCTGCGGCATTGCGCACCGCGATCTAAAGCCCGAGAACATCCTGCTCGCCTCCGACGCCGACGACGCGCCGCTCAAGCTAGCCGACTTCGGCGCGGCGGGACTGGTGCACGAAGGGCTTCGGACACCCTGCGGCTCCCTCGGCTATGCGGCCCCAGAGCAGCTCCGGGGCCTCTTCTCTCAGAAGCGCGACCGCTCTGGCGCGCCGGCGGCTGGCAGCACCTACGGCTACGAGGTGGACGCGTGGGCGGTTGGTGTCATTGTCTACATCCTCCTCACGGGCGTGATGCCCTTCGACCCAGCGCGGTATCGGGAGGCGCCGCTGACCGTCGCTTTTCCGGATGACCTCTTTGGTGGTGTGTCGGCGGCGGCGATCGACTTTATCGAGCGCTTGCTGTGCCTCTCGTCCTCCCACCGCATGACCGTCCAGCAGGCGGAGCAGCACGCTTGGCTGCAGCTAGCGTCGCAAGACACCGCAACCGCTTCTACCGGAGTCATCGTCGCGACTTGCACCGTCGAGGGGCCGGCGCCGGCAGCTGAGCTGAAAGAGCCTGCGCCGCCCACTCCTCCCACAAAGCTCTTGGAGCGCCGCTCGCTCCCTGAGGTCAGCTTCGGCGTATGCGAGGGGAAGGCGGCGGGGCCTGCCGCCGTGCCTCTGCACCAGAGCGACAGCCTCGCCAGCGATGCCTCGCACGCGACGGCAGCAAGTGCCACCCTCGGAGAGGCTGCGCGAGGGATGGAGCCCGCCGTTACCAACCCCGGCCGTCCCGCCCCCGGCTTGCCCACTCCGAGCAAGCTGCGCACGCTCAAGGAGTCGGGAGCGCTCGAGCGACAATGGCAGTTCAACGTCCCCCCACGGCTTTTAGAGGGCGACGCGCAAGACGCGCACGTCCCAGTGCCACGCGTCGGCCGTTGGGGATCGTTTGAGGAGGAAGCTTCAGAGAAGGGCTTGCCTGCAGGCGGCGAGAGCGCCGCAGTGGCCGGCATCATTGCCGCTCATTGCGAGTACGTCCCTCTCGGCTCTGCAGACGGAGGGGTGGATCTGCAGCTGCCGGCGCGACGCCGACGGTGAGGCAGCACCAGCAGCTGGAGCTGCATTAATTTTACTCTTGCGCCCCGTGGCCGTGGAGCCTCCAAAAACACACTTGTGAGACAGTAGAGAGAGGCAATCTCTTATTCTGTTTCTGACCAAAGTAACGCAAAATCTAGTGCAGGGCGGGGCGGGCAAGAGCCCCCCCCCCCTTTCAGTTTGAAGACACAGACGGCCGTCCAACACACAAGAACCGCGCCGTGGCGTGCCCCACCCTCAATTTAGCGCGATCTCGGCCCGCGACGCTTGGACCGCGGGGTCGCGTCCGCATGCCGGTTACACATGATTCGAGTCCGCCGCCTCTTGCCACACATGCCTCTTAGCGGCGCCCGAGTGCATTGATGAGTCTCTGTCGCTGCCCCATCTTGAGGCCAAGCTTCGCCAGCCGCGGCCCCGCGTCCGCCCCAAGAGCCGCGAGCGCGTCGACGTCCGTCTCGCCAGCCTCCGCGAAGGCGGGCCTATTCACAAGGATGCGGCGCCATGGGGAAGGGAAGGGCGGCCTCTCTGACGCGCCCGGGGGAGACTCGCCAGGTCGACTCGAGACCCAAGGAGCGCAGCAAGGCGCAGAGCCGCGCCCCTGCCTCCGGCGCCGCCTTTGCGGTCGGCGGCTTGGCAGGGGCGGCGGGCGGGGCGGCGGGCACGGTGGGTACGGAAGCGTCGAGCCGTCGCTGCAGCGCCCGCGGGTCAACCGTGGGGGCGGCGTCGATGGCGCCCCAGGCGCCGGATGCTGCTTTCCCCTCGCCTCCGCCGCTGTCGCCGCCACCGCCTCCACCACCGCCGCCGCCGCCTCCGGCCGCGTGCGACGGCGCCTCCTCGACGGCGGGCACGAAGGGCTTCTCGTACTCGCGCGGCGCGAGCGGCGCCTCCGGGTCGGCCACCTCCCTCGGGATGCTCGTCAGCGGCGCCCCCTCGGCCGTGCCTGGAGGCAGCCAGCTCGGAGCATCGCCCTCGTCCGGGTCGTCCGTCGCGCCCGCCGCCGCCGCCTCGCCCTGGTTCGGCGGCGGCGCGGCCAGCGCTTCAAGCTCCTCTTCAAAGGCCTCGTAGTCCACTTCAGGCGCCTCCTCCCACACCTCGCGCTCCTCAGCATCCCCGCCCGCACCGCCGCCGCCCGCGCCGCCGCCGCCGCCCCCGGCTCCACCGCCAGCCTGGCCGTCCTGGCCGTCCTCGGGCGCCTCGTCCTTCTGCTTGTCCAGCTCCGCGGCTCGGTCCGCGTTCTCCATCTTGAGGAGTCGCTGCACCTGCTCACAAGACACATCCCTCCACCAGCCACCCACACACGCCCTCGCGCGGAGAGGCGCCGCGCCGTGTCGCTCTGCTCGGCGCGCGCGCGCCGGTCCCGCAGCCGCATCAGCTTTTGCTCCTCGAGGCGGTCGAGCTTGATCTGCGCCTTCTCCGCCCGGTTCTTCGACCACAGAAAGTCATCTACCTCGCGCCGCTTGCCGTTGTCGCGCCGAACGTCGATCACCCCGACCTCGACGACGAGCACGGTGCCGGGCGGCGCCTTGTTCACAGCGGAAAGTGTGAAGAGACGGTGCGCACCCCTCGACCACGAGCCACGTGCGGGGAGGCGCCCTCCGCGCGGCCACGAATGGCATCATCATCCGCTGCACCTGTGCAGGGGATGGAGGCGGGCCGTATGCCGTCGCTCGTCGGTGTGCGGCCGAGCCTGCACACCGGCACTAGTTTCTCTCCGGCAACACGGGCGAGGGACCCGAGGTGGTGAGACCGCCGCCCGTCCTTCGCCCCGACGCCGGATCGCGAGGGCTCGAGGCGAGAGCGCCGCCGTGGCGAGAGGAGGCGGGAGGGAGGAGGCAGGAGGGGAGGAGGGGAGGAGGCAGGCGGGAGGAGGAGGGTGCGGCGCGCCTCCTTGACGCCAAAGACGAAGGTCGCCTCCTCACACATCGCCATGGAGGCGATCGCCTACCGCAGGGGCCCGGCGAGGCGCTCACACGCGCCAGCGAGGGGCGGGGCGGCCGGCGCAGAAGCAGGGGCGGCGCGGGCGGCGCTGCAGCGTGGCCGCCTCGTCCCACGCGCGGCAGACGAGCGGGCCGCCGTCGCCCATCATGTTGAGCATGGGCATCGCGCCGTTGGTGTAGAACTGCTTCCAGTTCGCCCACCGCATCCGGCAGTTGGTCTCCACCACCGCGCCCTTCTCGATCGGAGGCCGCCGCCAGCGGCGCGGCCGCAGCTTCACCCAGCCGGCGCCCTCGCCCTTCTTTGCCTCGAGGTTGTTGGCGGCGCGGATCGCGAAGCAGATGTGCTTGTGCCACTGCCAGTGCACCTTCTGGTGCAGCTTGCAGCAGTAGGCCACCGCGAAGCACCCCATGCAGCGGCGGAGCGAGTGGACACCGCCGCCCAAGTCACAGTGGGCGCACTGCGTCAGCGAGGGCGGCTCCTCGCGCACGACGATCTTGTTGCCGCCGATGTAGTGGGTGAGGGCGCGGCCGTACCGATCGCGCCGCTTCTCCTCCGCCTCCTTCTTCTGGTCCCACACCTTCCACGCGTTCCGCTCCCAGTCCATGGCGCCCTTGACGTACTGGTCGCGCCGCGGCGCCTCAGCCTCGCGCTTGAGGGCGAGCGCGCGCTCCTGGCTGGCAAGCTCACGCACGCGTGCCTCCTCGGCTGCCACGTCGTACCCAAGCAGCAGCGGCTCGCGGGCGGCCGTCCGCGCCGCCGCCGCCGCCGCCCGCGCCTCTCGCAGTGCCGACACGGGCTGCAGCGGAGCCGACTGTGCTGCAGGGTCCCATGTCCAAAGGAGGCGAGCGAGGCGCTCGAGCCAGAGATCCGTCGTTGCGGCGACGCCGAGCTCTGCACCAAGCGCGGCGAAGCGACCCTCGCCGCAACGTTCGCCGGATGGGCTGGCAGCAGCAGGGTCTGGGCTGGCAGCTTGCTCCATTCTACACCCTCTCGTCTCGGCCGAGCTCCGGTCTGCTGCCTCTCTGCTGTGGACCACTTCGAGCAAAAGTGAGAAATACGGCGACCCGCACGCGCGCGCGCGCGCGCGCGCGCGGTCGTGTGTGTGCGAGTGACTGCTACCAGGGACCATGGGCTTGTATGAACAACAACGAAGGCACGCTCAAAAAAATGCCTAAAGAAAGAAAGAAAGAAAACAGACAACCCAAGGGAGGGATGGGAGTGAGTGAGTATTCTTGATACGAAACCACGACGACACACACCAGTCGACTCGCATCGGTTGCCTACATGAACGGCGGAGCTATTCTCGCGCCCACACCACACCTGGCTCCAACGTGGACACGCCCATAGCTGGGGACACTACTAGGTCACGCATGGCATCACAGAAGTTTTATCTCTGGGCCCCGAAAGGCATCTCTAGCAGTGTCGTTACACATGCTCCCTCCCCTCCTGGGCGCATGCGCCTCACGTCTCGCCAGAGCATAAGCCCTTGGCGTGTGGCGAGACGAGTTTTTCGCCATGCAGCGAGCAGCAAGCCGCCCGCCGCAAACAGCCGGAGGCCTCGCCGCGGCACTGACTGCGCCGCGCTCCCGCACCCGTCGACGCAGCTCCCCCCGCGGAAGACCGCGCGTAGACACACACACACACACACGGGATGGGAGGACGGCACGCCGCCACCACACAGGGATTTTAAGCCGAGAGGAGTGTGGTGCTAGCCGTCGCCCACCCTCGGGCGTCTACCACTTCCTATCTCTCTTCGCAGTTTCTCACCAATTCTCGCAGCGACCTTCATGCCACCTCTCGTTTCTTCTCACTCTCGTCCTCGTTCTCTCCCCTGCTGTTTCATCCTCTGACTCATCGCTCTCCTCGGCCTCGTTCTGAGACGCCGCTGCCGTCTGCCTTGCTCTCGCTGCTTCTCTCGCCGCTCTGCGTAACTCCGGTCTCCGCCCTCCTCGCGGCATAATTTGGCCCCTCGAGTTTATCGAGCTCCCCTCGCGCAAGGACCACATTTCTGACTCCCACTCATTTGCCTCCAAGTCATGTCGTTGCTCTCAAAAAAATGCCTGTCGTGTCGTGTCGGGTCGCTAGACAGAAGGCCAGGGCAGCACTGGCAAGTGCAACGCGCCTCATGTCGGAGAGCGACCGTGCCTCGTTCGCCGCTTATGATGTAGAGTTTGTTGTAGAGATTTCACGTTGTAGAGCGCCTCTACATCGCTCTACAACGCAGGCGCCTCGTCACGCGGCGGATGTAGAGCTCTACAGCTCTACAGCGCTCTACATCGCTCTACAACGCAGGCGCCTCGTCACGCGGCGGATGTAGAGCTCTACAGCTCTACAGCGCTCTACATCTCTACAGCTCTACAGCGCTCTACACTCTACATCCTCTACACCCTCCCTCAGACCAGGTTTCCCCTTAACTGCAGCACGCCCCCTCTACTCGGAGCTAGTGATACGGCAATACGTACCGCCCCCACGCAGTACCTGTACTACTCGACGATAATACAAGAATATGCAGCTTGGAAGTTGCAGACGCCTATAAAGAAAAAACAGCACGCTAAATTTTGGCGGCTAAAAAGCAAAGGACGGGCGCTTTTGATCGGCAAAGCAAAGTTGGAGTAACGGCGACCGCGTCGCCACAATGCCAGTCGCCTGTCGAGCAGCCTTGGCGGCGCGCATGCGCCGCAGGGTTGACCGACAGCCGCGCGCCTCGAGCCTCTCGCTCCACTCGCGGCACGACGCACCCCGCGCGCCGGTCAGCGCAACAGGAGTATTGCGACATGCTGCACAACGCCAAGGACAGCACTGAGAAGCTGCGCCAGTCGCCCACCAGCATGTCTCAGCACCGGGTGAGGGAGCATGCTGCGCACGCTGATGCAGCACGAGGTCACCACCAATCAGGCCCTCACGCCACTGCACGGCCGCCCTCGAGCACCAGCAGCCGCGCTGCGCCATGCTCAAGCTCAGGAGGCCACCCTGCTTCTCGCAGCTTTGTGCAGCGCAGCGAGCGAGCAGCGCCGCACCAGGCGGACCCATGGCGTACTCAGCCAGCCGTGAGGCGGAGGCAGGCCGAGTGAGCGCGAGCCGCGCGGGAGGCCATGCCCCGCGCACCGGCGAGCGAGTGGCACGAGAGAGTGCAAGTCGTCGCGCATGCTTTTGCGTAACTGCTGCTGACTGGACCGCACTAATTCTTTACTCGCCACACACGATACGCTGGCTGGGTAAGGACGCCTCCGGCTCCTGCCCTTCCACGCGAGGCGCAGCTCGAGAGACGCAGCCGTTGCTGCGCGTATGGCTGTGCAGTCCACCGCTCCGTCGCTCCCGCCGCCGCCGAAAAACTACATCCAGCGCGCGCGCACGCAGCAGCGGAACCTGACGGCAAGAGCAGCAGAGGTCGGCTCGGCAGTAGGTCGGTCGTCGGCCAACCTGATTAGCGAGGTTGGCTACGCGGCGAGGTCTGTGGCGCCCGAGTCGCTGGTGCGAGCGTACAAGGTGTGGCCGACGAAGAACGTCTTCTGCTGCTGGGGCTTCCTCATGACCGGCCCGGTCGAGGACGTCGGCCCAAACAGCTGCGCGTGGACGTCGCTGCTCACGCCGATGGCGATATTCTTCTACACGTGGAGCGACATCCTGTGGGACCCGTCGCACGTGCCGCCGGTGTACTCGTACTTTTGCTGTCTCGCCTTCGCCTCCGCCGTCTTTTGGTTCTCCGTCACCTCCTTCACCGACCCCGGGATCATCCCGCGTGGGCCAAAGCCGTCGGGCCCGATGCCGCCGCAGCGGACTCGGACGGACGAGCGGGGGGCGACGGTGTACGAGACGTGGTGCAGCACGTGCAACGTCTACCGCCCGCCCCGCTCGAGCCACTGCTCCGACTGCGACAACTGCGTCCGCGACTTTGACCACCATTGCCCGTTCACCCGCAACTGCATCGGTAACCCTAACCCTAACCCTAACCCTAACCCTAACCCTAACCCTAACCCTAACCCTGACCCTGACCCTGACCCTGACCCTGCCTCAGGCGCGCGCAACTACGGACCCTTCGTCATGTTCCTCTCGTCGACCTGCCTCTCGCTCGCCGTCGTGCTCATCTCCGCGCTCGCCCTCCCCACGCGCGTGCCGCCGCACCCGGGCGCCCTGGACCCGCACTCGACCGGGCTGCGCGGCCTCGCGTCGACCGTGTCGGTCGTCTTTTGCGCCGTCATGGCGGCACTCCTCTTCTCCTTCACCGCATACCACGTCTCGCTCATCTGCGCGGGCATGACCACCAAGGCCTCGCGAGATGGGGCCGAGATCTGCCGAGAGATGGGCCGAGAGATGGGCCGAGAGATGGGCCGAGATGGGCCGAGAGTATGCCGTGTGCCATGACGACCCGGGGCACGCCACATCCCCCTCCCCCTGCCTCCGGACGTCACACACGCGCGCAAGCACGCACGCCCCACGCGCACACACCACTCACGCCGCCTCCTCCCTGCCCGAACCCTCGCGTGCAGCGCGCCACCCTCCCCTCCCCTCCCCTCTGCGCAGGAGCACCTCAAGGGGCGGCGCGCCCTCGTGCAGCAGTCCACCTTCGAGCGCCTCTGCGAGCCCTGCGCCGTCCAGCCGTCGCAGATCCAGCCGCGCAAGCTCGTCTCTATAGCGGTGGGCGGGGAGCCGCCCTCCGCCCACGTGGCGACCATCTCGCAGGCGCCTCGTCCACGCACGCACGAACCACACGCACGCATCTGCGTCCACATCTGCAACACACACACACACACACACACACACACACACACACACACACGCGCACGCACGCACGCACGCACGCACGCGCACACACACACGCAGAAGAGGGGAGGAGAGAGACAGGTCCACAATGCCGACCAACAGCCTGTGTGGTGGGCGCCCGCTTCCCCTCATCGCGGCCCTCTGACCCCCCCACCCTCTCCCCGCCCCAGGACGACCTCTGACCGAGGCCGTGACCGTACTTAGCAGTACCAGCAACACCGCGCGGGCGTGTGCAGCGCACGCCTCTCCCCCATCGCCTCCTCTCCCCCCATATCCGCTGCGTCACGACGCCCCACGGCGGCGCCTCGGAGGCTTGCCGCCTCCGACGTGTCGCCGGCCGGGGGGGGGGGGGGGGTCAGGGGGGGGTGAGCACGTCTCATCGCTCGCGCGGTGGGCATGCACTGTCTCCGTCCAGCGGTCCAGGGAGTAGTGGCGCGCCGTGAGTCGAGTGAGTGTGAGGGGCATAGGGAAGCGCAGTTCGCCTGTTGTCGACTGCTCTCGTTTTGTCGACTGCACACGACTTTTCCGCCTTTCCCTTTTTGCACACCCCGGGAGAAAAAACAAAGAAAGAAAACGGAGAAAGCAACGGAGGGATGGGAGGACGGCACGCCGCCACCACACAGGGATTTTAAGCAACACCCCGGGAAAGGGGAATGTGTTTCTTTTTCTCGATCCCACGGAAGAAGCAAGCCAGGATCCTGGCTCCGACGCCAATGAGGCTCTACCTCCAGCTCTTTCTCTTCGCCTACCCTGTGGCGGCGCTCAAGGTGACGGTGCTCGGCGGCAGCGGCTTTGTCGGGTCGCGTTGCTGCAAGGCGCTCGTGGAGAATGGCGTTAGCGTGACCTCAGTCTCGACGAGCGGCGCCGCGCCAGACTGGTGCGCTGGCCAGGAGTGGGCGCAGAGCGTCGAGTGGCGCAAGAACGAGCTGACGCGCGGGTCGCGCGAAAGCGTCGTGGAGGCAGCGCTAGACAGAGCTCACATCCGCTCACCGTTCAGAGTCTCACCGGGAGACAGACATATCACATCGATCGACATCCGACCATTCAGGGATCTCACAGCTATGTCAAACCTCACATGCACATGTCCATCTGTGCTTTTGGACGCCGAGCAGCCTCCTCCACGCCCCACTCCTCGTTTCTCCTCTCACAGGCGATCGGCTCGCCCGACGCCGTCGTCAGCGCTGTCGGAGCCATCGGCTTTGACCGGCAAGGGCTGCTGCTCGGCAACGGCGTCGCCAATGTCGAAGCGGCCAGGGCCGCTGCGGCGGCGGGAGCGAAGCGCTACGTCTACATCGGCGTCGCCTCTGAGGTCGCCGACGCGCGCGACTGGCTGCCCGGCTTCTTTGCGGGCTACTTTGACGGCAAGGCGGACGCTGAGGCGGCCATCGCGGATGGGTTCGAGGGGGCGAGCACCTTTGTGCGCCCGTCCTTCATTTACGGCGGCGACTCGTTCGGCCTCTTCCCGCCGCGCGTCAGCGCCGGCTACGGCTCGGCGGTCGAGGAGCTGCTCTCCTTCCCGCCGCTCGAGGCCCTCGCCAACGTGCTGCCCGGCCTGCTCAAGGTGGCGCTGCGGCCGCCGGTGAGTGTGGAGGCCGTCGCCGGCGCCGCGGCGGCGGCCGCGCAAGGCGAGGTGAGTGAGCCGGTCCTCGAGGGCGTCACGGCGATCAACGCGGCCGCGGGCGCCGAACCGGGCAAGGGCCTGAGCGAGATGCTCGGCGCCCTCAAGGGCAAGGTGTCTGAGCTTGCAGCGGCCGAGGAGTGATCTGTGTGAGGGTCTAGGTGCGACGGTCGGCCCGCCCGCGAGGCAGATTTTGAAAAAGACAGAAAACAGCGGCGCAATCTTGGCATGCGCGCCATACATCGAGATCTCTGCGGGACACCAGTACCAGTAGATTTGTTGAGTGGAGATCGTAGACGATGCCGATCAGAGATCTTCCACACACAGCATCTCTCACAAAACTCAGAGATCTTTAACTGAAGATAGAGATCTTGAGCTGCCGCCATCGGCACCTCGAGATCTCAGGCCGGAGACGGAGATGTTGACTTCGCGCCTTTGTATTTAGCGGGAGGAAGCCAGGTGGGGTTTAGCCCAATGTGGGAGATGCTGAGAACGCACACAACGCCTCTCGGGGGGGAAACACCCACAAACTCCAAAAGGGGGCTGCACACCGCTCGCGTGGAGGACTGGGGGGGGGGGGGGGGGGCACCAAAACTCTGGACTTCTGGAAATGGGGGGGTGGGGTGGGGGGTCCCCCATTACGGCATGCGCTTAGGAAAGGGACGGTAAGGCGCGCTGCTGGCGTCTGTCGATGGCGCGTACAAATATGTGCGTGCAGATGTAAGCGCAGACCCCCCAACCCCTCAGATGGAACAAACTACAACTGTATGTACTTTTAGCTTACTGGGAGAAAAGAGAGAGGGGGTTGTGTTCTCTAGGCCCCTAAGGGCCCTACGCGCGGCGTGCGTCGGCGTGAGAGCTCGGAAGCGAGCTTTGCACGGCGCGATCGAGGATGGCACGGTTCACCCCCTTCACCGAAGCGATGGAGATGCGTTCCGCGTGGTGTGACACAAATGAGAGGCGGGAGTGGGGAGGGTACGCGGTGCGGTCAACGCCCGAGCGTTGAGCCTTGCGCGCAAGGCGGTTGATCTTTGCAACTGCTGGCGGCGAGAAGCCGCCGCCGAATGTCTCGTGGAGAAGCAGGTTGAACTCTTGTTTCGTTTGGCAAAACTGTAAAGAGTTGGTGACCTCGAGGTGTACGTACTTTTAGCTTACTGGGAGAAAAGAGAGAGGGGGTTTGTGTTCTCTAGGCCCCTAAGGGCCCTACGCGCGGCGTGAGAGCTCGGAAGCGAGCTTTGCACGGCGATCGAGGATGGCACGGTTCACCCCCTTCACCGAAGCGATGGAGATGCGTTCCGCGTGGTGTGACACAAATGAGAGGCGGGAGTGGGGAGGGTACGCGGTGCGGTCAACGCCCGAGCGTTGAGCCTTGCGCGCAAGGCGGTTGATCTTTGCAACTGCTGGCGGCGAGAAGCCGCCGCCGAATGTCTCGTGGAGAAGCAGGTTGAACTTGTTTCGTTTGGCAAAACTGTAAAGAGTTGGTGACCTCGAGGTGTACGTACTTTTAGCTTACTGGGAGAAAAGAGAGAGGGGGTTTGTGTTCTCTAGGCCCCTAAGGGCCCTACGCGCGGCGTGAGAGCTCGGAAGCGAGCTTTGCACGGCGATCGAGGATGGCACGGTTCACTCCCTTCACCGAAGCGATGGAGATGCGTTCCGCGTGGTGTGACACAAATGAGAGGCGGGAGTGGGGCTGGCGAGGTACTTCCACCCTGCTGTGGGAACAGCTGACGCAGTCTCGCCGAGGCTCGCCCGACTCGGCCAGACAAAAACCCCGAGAGGCGTCGAGTACCTCGCCAGGAGTGGGGAGGGAGGTGTACGATCCATGAACACACACACAGCCACCACCGCAGCGAAGCATCCATGTCGGTCTTCTTAGTGCTCCTGCCGAGCCTCGCGCCGAGCCTCGCGCCGAGCCTCGCGCCGAGCCTCGCGCCGAGCCTCGCGCCGAGAGCGGTGCCGTTTAGCACGCGCGGCGCCATCGTTATGCAGGAAGACCTCGCTGCCAAGCGAGCCGAGAGCGGCAAGGCTGGCGCCGCGAGTCTTGTGGCAGGCACCGCGGGCGGCCTCCCCTTCTTGCTGCTGGGCAAGGCGGCCCAGATTCCACCAGGATACAGTGACGCTCTGTGGGAGTTCCAGGCCGATGGACTGGCTCTCATGCTGCTTCTCTTCGGCGTCGTCTACCGCTATGCCGTCCGAGATGACGAGAACCCGATGCTGAAGCAAGGCGTCGTCGGCGCCTTTGTCATCACGCGAGCATGGGCGCGAATCACACCGCCTGCGACGTGCGGAGCACTCCCACTCTCTTGCGGCGCACCGCTCGGCTACCTAAACTGGGAGATGATCGGACAGGGTGCCTATGCGACCGTCGAGACTGCCGCCGCATGCGTCGCCGCCGCAGCGGCCATTGAGTTTGCCTTCAGCAAGGGCTGGATTTCGAAATGCACCGACGGAGTGTAGAGTACACGACTACAACATACTGAACTATTTCGGACATTAGCTCAGAAATTCTCGTGGAGGGCTGTGTCCTGTGAGCGCCGTTTTTTACGGGCGGTAAGACAACAAAAAGAGAGTCGCGCCGCGCGCCGCGCCGGGACACACATGTTTTGCTCTCTCTCGGAGACGGTCTCGCCACTCGCGAGAGACACTCGAGACACACACGTCGGCCGCCCTCACTCGCTGCGAGCGCCGTGCGCCCACTTTTTGTGAATCGCGAGAGCACTCGACTCGAGGAAGGCCTTGTCGCACTCATCGCACCGGTGCAGCCTCTCCGCCTCCCCTTCCCCCCCCTCCTCCTCGCCGCTTCGCTCCTCGCCGCCGCTGCGCTGCCTCTCCTCCGCCGCGCCGGCGAGCTCGCAGGCGTACAGTAGCGCGTCGGCCGAGTTGGGCTGGTCCGCCCGCCTCACCGACTCGAGGCTGAGGCGCGAGCGCTGGTGCGTTGCGAGGCTGCCCAGGTAGGACACCTCGGCGGCGTGCGCAGTCGGGAGGGAGGTCATCATGTGGCCCTCCTCCTGCGCCTTCTCCTGGTGCGCTCGCTTGTGTCTCACCAGCGCACTCGCCTCCACAAAGGTCGCGGGGCACATGCTACAGACGAAAGGCTTGGAGTGCGTCCGCTTGTGACGCGCGAGGTGGCCTGCTTGTGCAAAGGCGGCGTCGCACTGGTCGCACTTGAAGGGCTTCTCGCCCGTGTGGATACGCTTGTGCTCGGTGAGAGCTCCGGAGCGCTTGAAGGCGGCGCCGCACTGCTCGCACTTATGCGGCCGATTGTTTGAGTGCGTCTTCTTGTGATCGACCAGATAGCGCGCCTGCGCAAACGCGGCTCCGCAGATGTCGCACTCGTGCGGCAGGCGCCTCTCGAGCCGGTCGCCTCCCGGGCTGGCCGATGCCGACGCCGAGGACGCGTCTTCGCTCCGGCCTGGGCTCGACGTCGCGTTGCTCGAATAGCTCGCGTTGCTCGCGAAGCTCGGATTACTGAACAAGCCGATGCAGGCCCTCTTGGCCGGCGGGAGATGGCAGCCCTCCAGGCCCGCCACGTACCAGGGGCTGAGCGCCGCGCTCGGGGCGGAGATGGGGGCGGAGACGCTCTCTGACAGGCCCGTGAGGCTCTGCTGGGCAGGCTGCGGTGACGGCATGGCTTGCACTTGCACGACCGGCATGCCATGTGACTGCGGCCACGGTACAGGCATGCACGTCGAGGCTGCTCCCGCCAGCACGATTTGCGCCTCCGTGACGTCGCTCGCCAGCTCAGGCGGCATTGAAGAGTGGCAAGCACCTTGAGTTAGCAAGGCTTTTGCCTGACTGAAACGTCAGCAGCAGCGTTCGACTTCCTTGACTCACCATTTCGTGCGGAGTTTTCGCGCGACGTGACGAGGCTGGCCATCAACCCCTGCCTAGAACGAGTACAACGGCTAAGAGTGATCTGTGAGGGTCCACCCGCAGGCGCATTTTGTATACCGAGGCGGTGCCCGGTGCCGAGCGCAGGCGGTCCCATCCATCATACCTCACTCAGTCAGACAGATGCGAGATAGATGCCGCACAGGCGGAACGACTCAAATTCGAGCACTCCTGTCAGATCGTCCCGCAAGGAAGTGCTGACTCGATTCTACCTCGATCGAATTCTTCTGGTACCCCCACGACTCGGAACGCGAATGTGACAGGACCATCGGGTCCTTCAGCCACCAAAGCGAGATCAATCACCCGAGAGCAGCTGAGTCTGCCTCTGGCCTCGCCTCCCTCTCCTTCAGGCATTCGTGGCATCCTATGGGTCGTCCAGAGTATCGTGTATCGACCTCTGGCTTGTCAGCCGGTCACTTGATGACGACCATGAAGTACAGCGATCGCCACCTCGCTGGCCTCTCCGCAAGGCCTCCCGACCGCGTCGAACTCACGGCGCGGGCTCTCTCGGCTACGGTACCGGCCCCAGCTTCGGCTGAGGGCGAACAAGCTGCCGAGCCCAAATCACTGTGAGAGTCGTGATTTATTGTTGGTTTTCAAATCTCTCTCGCAACAGAGGGCCTTGGCACCACAGCGTAGGCTCTGCTGTCCGCCTTGGACTTCGAATGAGTAAATTAGGACGTAATGGGACTTGAGCCTCTGCCCTGCGCGCCCCCGCCCTGCCCCGCCCCGCACATCCACACCCAACGCGCACATTCAAGAAAACCCAGTTCCGCCAAAAAAAGAAGAGGGCGGGCCGCGCCGCGAGAGAGTTCCTGGCTTCTACAATGGAAGACGCTCGCCGTCGCGCCGAGCGGCTCGAGGCGCTGCTCCGGTTTGCGCGGCCGATCGCCTCGGGCCTCGTCAAGGAGTTCTTCACCGACGGCCTGTGGGAGGCAGTGCCAGCGTCGTGGCGCGAGCCGCTCGAGGCCCTGCCGCTCCGCTCCCTCGCCGAGCTGCTCTCGGGGAGGGGCAGCGTCGACGTTCCGCCCGGCTCGCCCGCCTGGCCGCTCTCGCTGCTCGCCTTTGTGGCCGCCTGCCACGCCGAGCGGCTTCCGGGGCAGCTCGAGACGGCGACGCCAGCGAGCGCCGTCGCCAACGGGCGGTGTGCCGAGGAGGCGCTGCTCGACAAGCAGCTTCGCCGCGCCGTCAACCCGAAGAAGATGCACGAGATCGTCCGGTTGGGAGCGCTCGCCGATAGGCTCGGCCGTGCCGCCGGCTGCGACGAGATGGTGGACGTCGGCTCAGGGCAAGGCTACCTCTCCCGCGCGCTCGCGTTCGAGCACTCGTGGACAACCGTCGGGGTCGAGGCGGTCTCCTCGAACGTCGTCGCCGCGCGGAAGATCGACGACGCCGTCCGGCCGAAGCTGCGCTCTCAGCTCGAGGCGAGGCAGCCTCTCGCGCCGCTGAGGCGCACCATTGTGTGCTTCCGCCTGCCGCTCACCGAGAGAGGACGGAAGGAGTTCAGAACGGAGTACTGCGGCGAGTAGGCACGTCGCTGCCTGGATCCCACCCGGCATGAGCCCCAGCGAGCTGCGCGCCATCATCGCTCCGGGCGAGCAGTGCGTGCTCTGCGATGAGGCGGAGGGGGAGGAGGCCGCCACGCCACCTTCTTCTCCGCCTCCTCCGCCTCCTCCGCAGCCGCCACAGAGGAGCGCGCTGCTTGGCTTGCACACTTGCGGCGACCTCGCGGCGACTCTGCTGCGGCTGTACGACAGGGCGGGGGCGCGCTCGGCTGCTCGACCTGTCCACGACACGTCCACGACACGTCCGGGACTTGCGTGTCGCAGGCAGGCCCGACGCTTGGCTGCATCATCAACGTCGGCTGCTGCTACATGTTCCTGTCCGAGGAGGGGAGCGATGCGCCGCCCGCTGGCCCGCGCCAGCTCGCTGCGGGAGAGTGGAAGGTGTTCGAAGGGAGGAGAACGCCTCTCGTCCGCGCGCCATGCGCGCCACCGTCCAGGACACGTCCGTGACATGTCCGAGACGCGCCTCGTAGGACCACCCCCCTCACCCCCCTCACCCCCCTCGACGCGCCAGACGAGCCAGCCACAAGGAAGGCCGCCCCAGGCCCAGCCGGCGGCGAGCGCGGCACTGGCGCCGCCGAGCCCGCGCCGAGCGACGGCATGCCCGAGGCGCCTTCGCCTCCTTTGCCGCCGGAGCCGGGCTTCCCGCTGAGTGCTCTCCTCTCCTCGAGGGGCGTGAGGATGGGGTGAGCAGTCGGACTGTAGGGGGGGAGGGAGGTATTTCTGCTTCTTCTGCTGTTCCTTTTTTGCATTTGTGGTGTTCTTCTGTTCTCTCTCCTTGCTTCTTCTCTCCCGTGACCTTTGTTTTTTTT